ACATCTCCAAGAGTGGAAATCTTTCACATTCTCAAGGAAGAAAATAATTCCAGTCCTATTTAAAATATTCTAGTATATGAAAACAAATGGAAAGTCTACAAATTATTTTTATGAACACTAAATAATGCTGATTTTTAACAGCCTAAGCATACCAAAAGGAAAATTATAGACCAGTTTTCATATTCCATACTTATAGTGATGCAAAAATCCTAAAATATATGCAAATAGGATCCAGCAATATATTTAAAAGATTAAGTATATCATAGTTAGATATACATCAAAATGATACCACATTAGAAAATCTATTTATACAATTAGGACAAAGATAAGAAATTATCTCAACAAATTCCTGATTTTTAAAACTTTTTCTGTCAAGAACAGAAATAAAATAGATTTCCTTAATTTAGTGAAAAACACTCTCAAATTAACTTCTGTCATCATCATTAGCAGTAAAACACTTGAACATTTTTATTAAAGTCAGAAATAAGAAAAATGATGATTTAATTACTTTTTAGTTGTTGTTCATTACTTAATAGTAATCTTGAAGTACTAGCCACTGCAAATAGTGAGGAAAATTAAGCATACAGTAAAAATAAATAGAAATGTATCATTACTTTTAGATAATGATTGCATAGAAAAATGTTAAAATTTATTAAAAGCATTATATGGCCAATCATAAAATATATAAAGAATTGTTGCTATTGTCGTTGTATACTAACAGAAACCTTTTAGTCACAGGTAACATTTCTCAAATATTCCTAACATGCCAGGCATTATAAACAAAATAACTTGGAATAAATATAACATAATATGTACTAGTGGCCCGGTGCACGAAATTCGTGCACGGGGCGGGGGGGAGGTAGTTATCCCTCAGCCCAGCCTGCACCCTCTCCAATCTGGGACCCCTCCAGGGATGTCTGACTGCCGGTTTAGGCCCGATCCCTGAACCGGCAGTCGGACATTCTTCTCACAATCCAGGACTGCTGGCTCCTAACCACTCGCCTGCTGCCTGCCTGATTGCCCCTAACCACTTCTGCCTGCCAGCCTGATCACCCCCTAACTGCTCCCCTGCTGTCCTGATCACCCCCAACTGCCCTCCCCTGCTGGCCTGATCACCCCCAAGGCTTTTATTAGTATAGATAAGAGGCCCATGAAGAAAACTTCAAAACTTTGCTAAGGAATGTAGAAGGAGGCAAATAGGTAAGTATGCTATAAATATATGCTAGTTTTGGGTAGGAAGGCTGTGTAACAGTTAATAAATTTAATGCAATAACAATAAATTTCCAACATCTTTAAGGGAATTTGCAAAAATGTTGCCAAATTTTATCTTGAAAATTACTAAAAATGACCAGGAAAATTTATATAATACTAATTCAAGTACAGGTAGAGAATAGAATCACATAGAGAGGTCTGAAATTAAGGGTAGTATATGATAAAGGTAACTTCTGTGGATTGTGAAGTGGATTCTTAAATAAAGTATTGGGACAGTTGACCAGTCACTCCGAAAAATATATTAAAATGTTTGCTCTTTACCAGAATTAGATTTTTTAAATTGTAATATAATATACCCTCGATTTTGCGGACCTCGATTTAACAGACTTTCGATTTAACGGAAATAATTTCCAGTCCATATGTCGTATGTGAAAATGAATACCCTGTTAATTTTTAAATGCTTTTAACCAATATTTGTTTATAATTAAATTAACAGGTTATTTTTTTGTTATTAATTCACTGTTATTTTTAACAAATTTTAGCAAATAGGCCATATGTTAGAAAAAACACTGTAGTAGTTTCACCAACATCAATAAATATTACATACCGACAACTATCGTCTGCATATTTAAAGCCAAGAGTCACTGCTGTAAATGAATGACTAGCATGTGGTCAATCCACCTGGAGCACAGGGATGGGTTGTATGTCACGTGGTGTGACTTTCTGCAGCAGTTTTAACCGTGCTGTGTGCTAAGCCACGCCCCTGCCATGTGCTAAGCCACACCCCCGCCGTGTGCATTTGTTTACTCTCAGTGACTGGGGAATGCAGGCATTTGCTAGACCTAGTCTGTATACATTTTAAACTACTGTAATAAATATAGAAAACTTTCCTGTGAAATTTAACTTTTCATGTGTACCTAATTTTAAGTACACACATTTGTCTACATAAGTAAAAACAGGCAAACCAACTAATTTGTCAATTCTTTAACATAGGCATTCGGAAAACCTCCTTTATTCTATAAAGGACTTTCGGCTTTAACGGGCACCCCTTCATCCAAATTAGTCTGTTATGTCGAGGTTTTACTGTATAAAGCAATGAAGCCAGAAAGTTTTGTGTGGTTTTTTTTTTAAAAGAAAAGAAGGGTCATTTTTTTTTCTAGACTTGGAATAGGCAAGGGCTTTCTTAACATGATGCTAAAGGTTTTACTAAATGAAAATCATAATAAATGATCTAATTATATTAAAGGATATAATAAATGTAGACGAAGTGTAGAACTTCAGTATGGTAAACAAAAGGAGATGAGATTGAAAGGCACACAACTAGGATAAAGTGTATCAAATGAAGAGTTAATGTCCCCCAATAAACCAGACACTCAAGAAAAATAAAAATAAGCAGAGGGGATGAGCACTGCAAATACACATCCAAGGGAATGATGTCAGCATCACGAGCACTAAAGAAAAATGGAACCAAGTACCGTTTGTTCATGAGGCTGGGAAGAGTGACAAAGGAGACACACCCCCAGTGTGGGTGGAGTGGCGAGGAAAGAGCCACCTTCCTGCATTGTGGAGGGGGGGGGGTCACTAGGTGTCCCCCTCTGAGGCCCTGGTCCCAGTCTGTACCAAAGCACACCTTTGACTTTCACCCCAATTCTAGAAGGTTACCCTCAATAGGTAACCAGATGCGTTGTTCATTGCAGTGTTGTTCCTACTGGGAATAAATTGGAAACAATGGAAATGTTCCTTCTTGACTAAATAAACAGTAGTATTATGAAATATTATGCAGCCTTTTAAAAGAATGATATTGTACGTAATCACCTCATTGAGTTGATAAGTGTCCACAGAAGACTGTTTAGTGGGAAAAGACGTTTCAAAGCAAAGACATTTAGTATATCTTATAGTAAAATTGTGCACTTACACACACACACACACACACACACACACAAATGGTGCCAAAAAGAATGTTCGCCTAAATGTTAGCAGTGGCTACTCTAGTGTCATGAAATTGGAAGTGCCTTTTATTTTCTTTATAATTTCTAGATTATTTTTAAATAATATGTTTTTATTGATTTTAGAGAGGAAGGGAGAGGGAGAGGGACAGAAACATCGATGTGAGACTGGCACATCGATTGGCTGCCTCCTGCACATCCCCTACTTAAGTACACACATTTGTCTACATAAGTAAAAACAGGCAAACCAACTAATTTGTCAATTCTTTAACATAGGCATTCGGAAAACCTCCTTTATTCTATAAAGGACTTTCGGCTTTAACGGGCACCCCTTCATCCAAATTAGTCTGTTATGTCGAGGTTTTACTGTATAAAGCAATGAAGCCAGAAAGTTTTGTGTGGTTTTTTTTTAAAAGAAAAGAAGGGTCATTTTTTTTTGCCCAGACATGTGCCCTGATCGGGAATCAAACCAGCAACCTTTTGGTGCATGGGAGGACGCTCAAGCAACGAGCCACACCGGCCAGGGCTCCGTGTTATTTTTTTTTTTAATAAAAAGCATACAGTTTTATAATCAGACAAAACTCTTTCTTGAACAACTCCCCAAGTCCATACTGGGACCTGAGTTTCCTGTTGCCCTGTGTACACTGGCCGGATTAGCCACGTGTAGGGCTCAGCAGGGCAGGCTCGGGCACTGCGGACAGCGCCAGCCCCTGGACCACTGCCGCTCACGGGGGCCCTGCAGTCAGCCAGGGAGGCCCAGAGCCACAGGGGGAGGCCGCTCCCAGGGCCCTCGGTGACGCGTTCAGTTGCCTGGACTGGGAGGCTGGAGGTGGCAGAGGGCAGCTGGGAGCCACGGGGGTTTCTCTGTTAGCCCAGGAATTTGGGTTGAGGCAGGAATGAGGAGGTGCAGAGAAACAACTCTGAGCGTTTTAGAAACGTGGACGCCTCGATTCTGGACTGCAGGGGGTTTGGCTGCATCTGGTCCTGTGTTTCCTAACTTCGCGGTTACAAACTGTCCCTGCCATCATCTACGTCAGGGTTTCCTTAGATCAACTCTGAGCGTTTCTGTTTGGTTTGACATACTTATTCTAAAGCAGCGGTTCTCAACCTGTGGGTCGCGACCCCTTTGGCGGTCAAAGACCATCCTGCATATCAGATATTTACATGACGATTCATAACAGTAGCAACATTACAGTTATGAAGTAGCAACGAAAATAATTTTATGGTTGGGTCACAACACGAGGCACTGTATTTAAAGGGCCGGAAGGTTAAGAACCACTGTAATCTAAAGGAAACTTCTAATGATTGTTGCAATCAGAAACCAATATTCTTTCCTATGAAAAGTAGGTAACGGCATACAGGAGAGTGAAAACAGAACCAGTTTTATGTTGTTTCCTGCAGAGGGCTGTGAGCTGAGCCTGCACGCCCTCCCTCGTTAAAATGGGAGCTCAGCAAGTTCTAGAAAGGTCTTTAAAATGCCCTAGTCCCACCCCCCCGCAAAAAAAAATTTAATTAGTTAATTAATTAAACAAAATGCCTGGCCCAGGACTGAGACTTGCTCTGTAATGTGAGGGAAGAAGTGTTCTCACTACACTCCGCCCTGTTATCCACTCACCGCGTCAGGTCATTTCCTGGCCCGCCCATGGCCCACGCTCCTGGGAGAGCTTGCTGGCCTGTCCGAAGCCGACCCTGGACGAGTCCCCTCCACTAGCGTCTCAGCTGTGCCCTCCCCCCCGCCCCCCGCCCTCCTGAGTGGCAGTTACTGTGAGAGTTGATGCCTTGGGCAGGGTGGCACTGGCCGTGGTCGGGACGCCATGGGCCCTTGTCCCACCTGGTCCGCAGGCCTTCGAGGACATCTACCTGGAGGAGCGGAAGACCATCAAGGTTCTGCTCGAATACGCCGACAAGATGTTCACTTACGTCTTCGTGCTGGAGATGCTGCTCAAGTGGGTGGCCTACGGCTTCAAGAAGTACTTCACCAACGCCTGGTGCTGGCTCGACTTCCTCATCGTGGACGTGAGTGTGGCCCTGGAGGGAAGGGTGAGGGGAGGCCATCACCAGCGCGGCAGGAGCTGAGACGGAGCCGAGGGACAGAATGGCTGGGCTGTCGGGAGGCTGGCTAAAGTGGAGACACTTGCCCTAACCGGTTTGGCTCAGAGGATAGAGCGTCGGCCTGCGGACTGAAGGGTCCCAGGTTCGATTCCCGTCAAGGGCATGTACCTTGGTTGCAGGCATATCCCCAGTAGGGGGTGTGCAGGAGACAGCTGGTCGATGTTTATAATTAAATTAACAGGTTATTTTTTTGTTATTAATTCACTGTTATTTTTAACAAATTTTAGCAAATAGGCCATATGTTAGAAAAAACACTGTAGTAGTTTCACCAACATCAATAAATATTACATACCGACAACTATCGTCTGCATATTTAAAGCCAAGAGTCACTGCTGTAAATGAATGACTAGCATGTGGTCAATCCACCTGGAGCACAGGGATGGGTTGTATGTCACGTGGTGTGACTTTCTGCAGCAGTTTTAACCGTGCTGTGTGCTAAGCCACGCCCCTGCCATGTGCTAAGCCACACCCCCGCCGTGTGCATTTGTTTACTCTCAGTGACTGGGGAATGCAGGCATTTGCTAGACCTAGTCTGTATACATTTTAAACTACTGTAATAAATATAGAAAACTTTCCTGTGAAATTTAACTTTTCATGTGTACCTAATTTTAAGTACACACATTTGTCTACATAAGTAAAAACAGGCAAACCAACTAATTTGTCAATTCTTTAACATAGGCATTCGGAAAACCTCCTTTATTCTATAAAGGACTTTCGGCTTTAACGGGCACCCCTTCATCCAAATTAGTCTGTTATGTCGAGGTTTTACTGTATAAAGCAATGAAGCCAGAAAGTTTTGTGTGGTTTTTTTTTAAAAGAAAAGAAGGGTCATTTTTTTTCTAGCCTTGGAATAGGCAAGGGCTTTCTTAACATGATGCTAAAGGTTTTACTAAATGAAAATCATAATAAATGATCTAATTATATTAAAGGATATAATAAAGGAGGACGAAGTGTAGAACTTCAATATGGTATCAGAGAAAACTCTTTCTTGAACAACTCCCCAAGTCCATATTGGGACCTGAGTTTCCTGTTGCCCTGTGTACACTGGCCAATGGTGCCAAAAAGAATGTTCGCCTAAATGTTAGCAGTGGCTACTCTAGTGTCATGAAATTGGAAGTGCCTTTTATTTTCTTTATAATTTCTAGATTATTTTTAAATAATATGTTTTTATTGATTTTAGAGAGGAAGGGAGAGGGAGAGGGACAGAAACATCGATGTGAGACTGGCACATCGATTGGCTGCCTCCTGCACATCCCCTACTGGGGATCCAGCCTGCAGCCCAGACATGTGCCCTGATCGGGAATCAAACCAGCAACCTTTTGGTGCATGGGAGGACGCTCAAGCAACGAGCCACACCGGCCAGGGCTCCGTGTTATTTTTTTTTTTT